CATCATCATCTTTGTCTTCTTCTTGTCCTTCTTTTTCTTTATTATTATTACTACTACTACTACTACTAGTATTATTATTATTATTATTATTATTATTATTATTATTATTATTACTACTAATATTATTGTTGTTGTTGTTGTTTATAATTTGTGCAATTAACCTCCTTGTGGTTCGATCCTAGTCTTGCCAGATTATTTATTATTTCGACACTCCTGCACATAGGAGAAGACATCAATCTTTTAGTCGTGTCACATGTCACTGTATAGAGATCCTGGTTTGAATCCATTGGTGATGCCATAAGCAATTCTGATAGTGAATCAATCACGTCACTATACAAAACTCCCGATTTGAATCCCTTAGTGGTTTTGTTGGTAAAATCGCTCACAAAAACTTCTACGTCAGCGAATCATCTTTTTTTTAATTCTAAATATTTTGTTTGTAATTTCATCCGTATATATTAATGGATACCGACTGAATCACAGACAAAAAACATTTCGTCAATAACAATGATTGCAAAATACCAACAGAACTATTCTGTTAGTAATGTCGTTGGTATTAAGTGAATTTCTAGTAGTGAATATGCCACCCTCGTGATTTGCCATAACACCCGAACCCAAGTAAAAAAGTTGTCCCTTAGAAGTGTTGAACCCACCGTAAAGTTGACACAAAGAACCTAACTTAGCTAGCCTTTACAACCTAATTTTATAGTTGATCCGAAACTTTATTTTATTCATGTTTTAATCCCTGAGCTTCAGAGAGAAAAGAGAAATTCCTACGAAAATGGTGCATGAGAAATAAAGTTGTATGTTGGCCACTTTTTGACAACAAAAAAATGATCTTGGTATTAACGGGTTTCATTTGATGAGAGGAGTTTTGTTGAGGTGGTCTTGATCATTCATCTTATCATCTTATTTAGGCTTTTTTATTTTTTTTTTATTTTTTACCTATTAAAGGTTTATTTAAGACTATAAATGGGTTTATTAGGGTTTTTAAGTGTTTTCATGTTAAAAAAGGATCAATATAGGGTTTTGAGGTCTTAGGATTCAAGCCTCAATTTTTCAACACCCGATGTAACTAAAGTTCGACCAATAGATGACGCATTGTTTGTCACCATATCCAAATTATCATCTGCTTTGTTTTTTGAAAAACAAATAGGTTGATGACGCATTGTCTGCATAATTTAACAAATTAAAGGTCAAATGCGTAAGTCTGATCTTCTCTATTTTGTGCAAAGCATAGTTATTAAACTTAATCCATGGAATAACCTTGACCAACTTGGAAAAAATTTTAAAAAGAAAATTAAGGTTTTAATATATCACATGAAAAAGTTAAAAAATATTTAATATATATATATATATATATATATCCCATAAAAAAATTAAAAAATAATTCATGTGAATAGAAACTATATATATCTCATGGAAAAGTTAACATTTCATACATATATAAGCTATAAAAAAAGTATGCAAGACCACATATTCACAAATTAACTTTATATGTTTTAGATTTATTAAAAAAAATAAAAAAAATAGGGTTTCACTTGGGTTACGGCAGATCACTCGGGTTTTACCAAACTAACTGTAAATCCAAGTTTAGACCATTTAAAACATGTCAAGGTCCTGGGTCATTTAGATCCCGAGTCAATCCATCTGATAAGCCTAGTTTTATATCTATGATTCTAAGAGCAGGGCCACCAAACTCTTTTTATAAATACTTTTTGTTTTTAATTTTTTTCTTAAAGTTTATCTAATTTTTTAATAAAAATAATGAAAATTATATTTAGAAAATTATTTCATTTAATATCATTCATTTTGAATTTTGTTTTGAATAAAATTATAATATTTTTTATAATATTAACAAATATGTTTTTATATAGCCATCCAGGATTTTTTTCTTAAAGTTTGATAAAAATTAATTAAAATAAAATAATTAAAATTATATTTAAGATATTATTTTAATTAGACCATTCAATTTGATATTTATTTTCAAATAACATTATAGCATTTTTTTTAAGTGGTAGCAATCATTTCAAGCAAACTTTATTTAAGTGTGTGGTCGCGGAAACAAAGTTTAAATAATTATAATTTTTAAGATGTGTTTTTTCATTATTGTTACTTTTTATTTAATTAATTATTCTTCTTATGAAAAACAAAGTTTGGTTAAAACAATGAAAAACATACAAAATATGATTTTTTCATTATAATTTTTTTCATTATTTTTCCTACAAATAATTTTTAATTATTTTATTATTAATTAAAAATAAATTTTAAAAAGTTTCATACAGCCACACGAAGATAATATATCTTTCTCTTTTTTTTAGTTAAAATTATCAAAATCAATTTTTTTTCTTTATTAAAACTTGCTTGAATGGTTTTGTTAAATTATTATCTAAAAAATAATTATTCTTGTAAAAAATATCAAACAAAAACGGAGCTCATAAATAAGATGAAAGGATTTTAATTAAAAAGATTTATTTTTATCATTTTTTCAAATTGTTCCTTTTTCTATTTATTCTAAATTTTTATTGAATAAACATCATAGATTGAAAAGCTATTTTTTAATATATATTAATAAAAACGGAGTTATGCTGTAAAACTATTGTTTTAATGGAATTTAAATTATAATTTTAAATAAAAATAACTTTTTTATATATAATTAAATAAAAAAAATAAAAGAGCTCCATGTTGCAAGAGATTAGATATCTTAATATGTACTTATTTTTCAACTTGTCAACTTAATATTCAATTATTGTTAAATTATTTTTATATTTATTAATCAAGTCCCTATTGTTTTTAATCTCAATTAAGTAGTTCAAGCATTAGAACATCCCAAACAATTTTTTATCTAAACTTATCATAATCTTAGCAAAGGAATGTGTGTGTCTGAGATTCAATTAAAAGTTTTAGCAAATTTAGAAAACCAATCAACTTATAATATTTTTGGCATGAATTTTTTTTTTTCCCTATTAGAGAGTACCAAACTTTATTTTCGCTATGCATCCAAACTTTGAAGATTTGTTTTCTGATCAAGTGTTTTTATTAGGTTCTATCAAAAGCATGCTGGTCATAATATTGACATGTCATCATGTTGACATACATAATAAATATACGTGAATATTACATTTTATTTTTAATCGAGTGTCTATAGTTTTATTTTTTTATTTAAGTGTATCTATTTTTCTTTTCTTTTCTTTTTCTTTAAAGTGTGTATTTTAGAAGGGGAAAAATTCAATAGCGAGCAGATTTCACAATTCTTGTATAAACCATCTTGGAGCAAGTTAAATAACAATTTTGTTTCATATTAAAAGAAAATAAAAACAAAAGGGTATATGTATAAATAAAATAAATCAAATAGAATTGATTTCTTTCACTTTCTCACAAATCAAACAAGTGGAAATTAAATAAAAGTATAGATATCAAATTAAAAATAAAATAAAATATTCATACACTCTTGGCTATATATCTATTAGCATATTGGTTCGCACTTCACAACAAATTAATAATAAAAAAAATTTAAATGTAAAACAAATATAAAAAATATAAAGTAACTTAATAAATTTATATTTAGCACCATTTCAGATCTAATTGCTATTTAATCTAACCAGATTAATCTAAAGATATTGGGTTTAGCGACATAACCAAACTTAAAGGTATTGGATCTTGTTACAAAGCCAGACCCGATATCAAACCAAATATGATATTCTAAAAAAATTAAAAATATCTTAAAATATTTTAAAAAAAATATATATTAAGAAATTATTATTTTTATTTTGTAGAAACTATTTTTCATATCATCATATCAAAATAATACAAAAACATCCAAAAAAATATTTATTTGAAGTAAAAAATTAAATTTTTTAAAGCATTTTTGAAAAACAAAAACAAGCATAGTTTAATAAATTCAACTCAACCTCAAATGAAAAAAAAAAATATATCATCACCTAACTTTTGTACAATATAAAAAAATATCATCAATTTAGTATAAAAAAATTAAATAAAATAAAAAATACCTTAAAATAAAAATAAAAAAAATTAGGTGTCAATATGTTGGGTTCTACTCTGTTATGTTCTATTCATAATGCTACTATAAAAATTATTTTATTTGAAAATGGTGATGTTGCAAATGCATTATGTATTTTTAACCCAATTCATACATTTTTATATTTGAAAAAAAATGTTATTGACTCCCTGAGAAACGCTGACCAATATACTAGTTATTGTATTATTACATAACTATTATTTTTAAAATATTAAAATATATTGAGATGATATTTTTTTATTTTTTAAAATTTATTTTTTATATTATCATATAAAAATAATAAAAAAATATTAATTTTAATTAAATAAAAAAATAAAATCTTTTTGAAACGCAAAACAAATATATTTTAGTAAAAAAATTCAATCCAATCTTAAATAAACAAAAAAATTATCATCGCTAAACTTTTATATAATATAAAAAAAATTTATCAATTTATTTTTTTATTATATAAAAAAACTAAACATAATAAAATTTAAAAAATAAAAAAAATTAATGATCCAGTGAAATTCAAGGATATTAAAACTATCTGTCTATCTACATTAAAAATCAATGAATCTACAACCAAACTCAATAGTGCTGGTCTAGCATCCAAAATGTTTTGCAATCAATTTAAATATGACTTTCAAATCAAACTTAATAGCATTGCATCTTACGAGGAAGCTACATCTAACCTTTTTTTATACCGAAAATTCAAAAAACAACACTCGCAATAATATTTTTTTTAATTAAAAGACAACGCTCCAAACCATACACCGACATTTATAGTGCCACCACGGTGCACAGTACAATAATTCACGATAATTTCCCCTCACCTATAAGATGCTATCTTGTCAGTCCAGTGGTCGTGTCAACATCTATTTGACAAAATCTAATAAAAATACTTTATTAAAAAAAAATCACAATTTTATTTTAAACACTTCATTAAACGTTCAAAATGCCCAATTGGTGGGTGCTCTCCACGTCCCCAAGTATATAAAATCAAGAAACGTTCAAAATCCCCACCATCTCCATCGAATCAAATCTGGAAAAGGAAATGACGGAGCTCGCAGAGACCTACGCATGCGTTCCCTCGACCGAACGAGGCAGAGGGATCCTAATTTCCGGTCATCCAAAAACCAATAAAATCCTTTACACTAACAACCGATCCATTCTCATTCTCAACCTTGACAACCCGCTTGACGTCTCCGTCTATGGTGAGCACGCTTACCAAGCCACCGTCGCCCGATACTCTCCCAATGGCGAGTGGATCGCCTCCGCTGATGTATCCGGGACTGTCAGGATCTGGGGTGCTTACAATGATCATGTCTTGAAAAAAGAATTCAAAGTACTTACTGGTCGGATCGATGATCTTCAGTGGTCACCTGATGGGTTGAGGATCGTTGCATCTGGGGATGGAAAAGGGAAGTCTCTTGTTCGCGCTTTTATGTGAGTCTAAAAAATAATTTTGTTTTACTTTTTAAACGCATGGCTAAACGTCAGCAAGCAGAGTTTCTATGGTTTGATGATTGATGTTGATGGTTGTTATTTTTTTTGTTTTTTTGTTTTTTTGTTTTTATAGGTGGGATTCAGGAACTAATGTAGGGGAATTTGATGGGCATTCACGGCGAGTTTTGAGCTGTGCGTTTAAGCCAACTAGGCCATTTCGAATTGTCACGTGTGGAGAGGATTTCTTGGTTAATTTCTATGAAGGACCGCCATTTAAATTCAAGTCATCTCACAGGTTTGTAATGGTGTATTTTTGTAGGAAATTATGAGAGTTTTAATTCTGATTTTAAGTTCTTAGAGTTAGATCAAAATAAAGAGGGTGCATTGGTTGAAAAGTTTAGGTTACATGCAGGGATCATTCAAATTTTGTCAATTGTATACGGTTTTCTCCAGATGGTAGCAAGTTTATCAGTGTAAGTTCTGATAAGAAAGGCATACTGTTTGACGGAAAGACAGGAGAGAAGATCGGAGAGTTGTCATCTGAGGATGGTCACAAGGGCAGTATTTATGCTGTTAGTTGGAGTCCTGATGGTAAACAGGTAAGCCTGGTATTAACTTATAATGAAAGCTTTTGTGGTGAACACTCTTGTTTTGTGGTGCCTAAACCAATACTTGTTGATGTGACACTTCAAAAAAAATTAGTTAATAATATAATTCTTAGAAGACATTAAATGAGGGTATTACAGTAGAAGCATAGGTGTAGAAATTACAACTTTATCTCATCATTTGTTTTTAGTTTCTTTCAATTTGTGAAGCTACTACTGAGGATTAAAATGAATTCTGTGTTGTGTTTTGCTTACTTCTTCATGGACCATTTATGGAAACAAAATCTGCAGCCAAGTACTAGTATTTCGTAATTAAGGACCAATTGCATGCTATTCTCTTATTAAAAGTAATTTATTTTTGATTGATGTGCTTGAGGACTGTACAAAAAGTGCTCTATTTTTATTGTGGATTTGATTTCGTTTCCGTTGATACTTTGTTTCCCCATTTCTGTATTTGCATTCCTTTATTTTCTGCTCTTTCTCCACCTGGTAAAAGCAACTCTTTTTGTACCTGATAATTAACCAAATTGTGGTTAAACTATTTTATAGGTGCTAACAGTATCTGCCGACAAGTCTGCAAAAGTGTGGGAGATCTGTGATGATGGTAGTGGAAAGTCGACAAAAACTTTGACTTCTTCTGACTCTGGTGGAGTGGATGATATGCTAGTCAGTTGCCTTTGGCAGAATGATCATCTTGTCACTGTTTCTCTTGGTGGCACAATCAGCGTTTTCTCAGCTAGTGATCTTGGTAAAAGTGCACTGCAAATATCTGGTCATATGAAGAATGTTACCTCTTTATCTGTGCTTAAAAATGTCCCTAAGACAATCCTGTCCAGCAGCTATGATGGTTTGATAGTTAAATGGATTCAAGGCATTGGATACAGCGGCAAATTGCGGAGGAAGGAGAATTCTCAAATTAAATGCTTAGCTGCTGCTGAAGAAGAAGTCATCACATCTGGTTTTGATAATAAGGTGATTAACTTGGCTACATGTTTTGATTCTTAAATGAGTATGCTGTTTTCCTTTTCTATTTTTATCTACTATGAATTTGAGGACGTGAATGAGTTCCTGCTCATCAGGATCAATAGATGACATATGAAACATGCTATAGGGATTGTAGTAGGTTCTCCTGCTTCTAACTTACTGGTTGTGAGAGGAAGTTTTTCTTTTATTTGAATAGTCATACTATTGTTAGAAGGACTATAGTGTTGTAGCTTTCTTTATGTTGACCACATGTATCAAATAATCAGTATGGAATGGAGAATTTCTCCCTGACATGTGTATATAGTTATACTCTTTTGATTGCAAGCAAACGTGATTCCTATCCCCTGAATTGTATTTTTAGCATGCCTCTTCAAGCATCCTTAAAAACTATCTGTGCCATTCTGGTGCCTCTACAAGTTGTCTAAATATGAAAATGATTTGTCCTGCTTTGATTTCTAATTTTTAGTAGCCTAAAACAAAAACAAGTTGAAACAAAGAAAGAAAAAGGAGAGCTTTTCATTCCCAACTGAAAGCTTTGCGAAGCTCTGGATTCTATCAAAATAAGTTTCATTGTTTTCTTTAATTTCTTCTCAATGTTAATTAAACAGGATTTGGGTAAATTATGAACTAATTATGATTTCTACACAAGGTTTGGTGCATTTGTTTTCCTTTGAGGAAAGAAATCTGTGCCCCTTTTCACCTCTAATTCTTTCTATTTTTCAGTTATGGAGAATTCGTTTTCTTGGTGATCAATGTGGAGATGCAGATTCCATTGATGTCCTCAGCCAACCAAAGGATATAAGTCTTGCCCTTCTCTGCCCTGAGCTTGCTTTGGTTGCAATTGATTCAGGTGTTGTCATGATTCGTGGTACAAAAGTAGTGTCAACCATCAATCTTGATTTTGCTGTGACGGCATCTGCAATTTCACCTGATGGAAGTGAAGCAATCATAGGTGGGCAGGATGGGAAATTGCACATATATTCTGTCACAGGTGATACACTCACAGAAGATGCAGTCCTTGAAAAACATCGTGGAGCTGTCAGTGTCATCCGCTACTCTCCAGATGTTTCAATGTTTGCTTCTGGTGATTTAAATAGGGAAGCTGTAGTTTGGGATTGTGCTTCCAGAGAGGTACTTTGATTGCTTATTTAGATCCAAAAAGTTGATGCTATACTCTCTGTACAGCTGTTTATGCATAGCACTTTGTTATTGTTGGTTGAAGTTGCAGATGTGCAAACTTGTGCCAGGTCTGTGCTCTTTAAGCAAGTGAGCTACACTAAGTACATATCTACATGATAGCGAGGCATTGAAAGTTTTCTGTTATTTTGCTTTCTAATTGTCACAGAGCAAAGCAAATTTGGCTGTCAATTCTCTGTCTATGGGAATTTTATTGAATTGCATGATTTGGAGAAGCCACCAAATCAAATGAAGCACTTGCAATAGATATCGACTTTGATTGGGGGATTTGGCCAGTTCATTATATATATAGAATCATGAATAACATAGCTCCTGTCATTATGGTTTTTGGTTCTGTGAATTTTACTTTCCTACTAGCATATCGTTGTCCTTAACCTTGGTTTTCAAAACTGAGACTTCCATAGTTACTGGTCTTACATCTGGCATAGGCCAGAAGAATGTTTTGTTTTATGCCCAGCTATCACTCTTGAGTTTGCTAGAAAATCAGCTTAGATAAGCAGTCACTCATTTTTGGATGATGTTTTGCTTAGT